TCAAATGTCAACATTGGCTACCAGAAATCACTTACCCCAACTTTAAAGCGGCACTGCGCAGACCGATCGGTGCATGACATCAAAGTACCCATTCATCGATCGGTCTGCGCAGTGCCACTTTAAGTCGAATACACCTATAGTTTGGGGTGTTCGGTAAGTTCCGTCACGAAATATACATCATTTAACCCGAAAAATCAGGTTGTGAAAGTATGGCTATGCCTAGTTTCGGTATCTTTAGGTTCACTTCAAAAATGCCAGTGTGAACGCTAAGTGGACTAGGACCAAATATATCATTTTCTTTTTTGGTCCGGACCAAACAAACGAAGAGAACCGAACTACAAGTGTGAATGCACCCTTAAAATAAGTATCTTCACAGTACATTTTGTTCATGTTCTTCAGGACTAAAGAACAAAACTTTAATCTCACAACAAACGGCTGTTTTATATAAAGCACAGATGTTTTTCAAGCTGCATGTTACACTTATTTTTATGTCAGGTGCACCTGGTTTGCCTGGATCTAAAGGAGACAGAGGATTCCCGGGAGTGCCAGGGCTCATGGGCCCACCTGTGAGTGCTTCCTCACACATTCTGGATAACTCACTTTTTGTATAAAGTGACAGATGATTCAGAGTGATTAAGAAACACATAAGTACTTAACACTTCTACACTTTAGGGAATACCGGGCCCTCAGGGTCTCCCTGGAGTCCCTGGAGAGAAGGGCGACCCAGGCGATGCACTCTCTGTTCCGGGTGTGAAAGGAGAAAAGGGAGACACAGGCTTTCCTGGCACTTCAGGTCTGCCGGGACTCGACGGAAGACCTGGTCGTGATGGAGTTCCCGGTCCCCCAGGCCTCAGAGGACCACCTGTGAGTGTTTGTTCACTTTTCATTAAAAGTACAACTTCTGGGTATTTTATACAGTTAAATACATTGATATATAATAATACACAGATATAATAATACCAGGCAGGCCAGGCAATAATAATTGATGATGAAAATAATAATTCTCAGACTACTAAATTGCCATTTGAACTTAGTCAACCTTTGAAGAACATTTTCAACCTCTATTTAACCCTCAGAATTAAAAATTATTCTTTTTTTATTGCTCTGCATTTAAGAGTTCTATGTAAACTCACTTTTTGTGTTTATTACAAGAAACCAAGGCTTTGCATGACTTTAATAACAGGTTCACAAAACAATTTGCAGTGAAATAAGCCATTTTTCTTACAGGGTTCGGCATTAGTGAAAGGCTCACAAGGTCCATCAGGTGACCCTGGCTTGCCAGGACCTCCAGGAGACAGGGGTCTGCCGGGTCCCCCGGGATTTGGTCCTCAGGGACCTCTTGGAGAGAAAGGTATCCAGGGTGTTTCAGGAAGATCAGGGGCCCCTGGAGCACCAGGTAAAAAGCAATCTTTTTGTCTTGTTTTTAAGTTCAAATTATTTTAAGGCTGTCAGTCAATTCAAAATGTGAATCATATGAATTACACATATGCTATTTTTGCACTAATCAAGGTAAATATGTGTACATTCCTGTTGCAGCTGACTACTTTAACTTGTAGCTTGGCATGTCTCAGTGTAGCAGTGATCTTACAATGGGCATTACATCATCTCAATGTTTGTCTGAATGGGTAGGTCAGAAAGGTGAACCTGGGTTGGCAGTGTCAGATAAAGGTGAACGTGGACCCCCAGGACGTGATGGAGATCCAGGTTTGCCAGGAAGTCCAGGTAACGAAAAAACAACCAACTATAGTTGTCAGCATACATTTAGTTGTCTTAAATGCATATGGAGCAGGTGGGGAATTCAGAGTTCAACAGAGACTGGTTCTATATCTGTACAGGTAATCCAGGCCTACCAGGACAACCTGGGTTCCCTGGCTTACCTGGACCCAAAGGAGATCCTGGTCTTCCTGGTATTGGTTTGCCAGGACCCCCTGGTTCTAACGGTACAATGTTTTCCTGCAATTGAAACACTAATATAATGTAGATTGTCTGCTGCTATGTGTTTTCCAATTCACTAAAAATAGTTTAAAGGATAAAATGAGCATTATTCATTGAAAAAAGTCAGATTTGGCCAAATACATGCCAGTTAATTTCTCTAGAAACATGTATTGTGCCACATAGTCATTTTTATAACTTGGGTAGTGAGAAACAGTTTTGTCCATATGTCTAACAGTGTTGCCCATATTCTTCAGGATATCCTGGTATTGCTGGTTCCCCTGGTGGACCTGGTATTCCTGGACGACCAGGTTTGGACGGACTGCCTGGTCAGCCTGGATTACCTGGACCCAAAGTATGAAACATTTAATCTAAACAATACAATATTAATTTATAAACTTCATCTATACATGAGTATTTTACCATCAGGTGATAACCGAATATTTGAATCATCAGTTTCTGAATCATTCTATTGCACATTAACAAAATACTATATACACTTTCATTTTTTCATTGTTTTATATCACATTTGAATAAGCGAAAAGACCGAATAATATGTACCGAACAATGACGTGACGTGATCAAATAGAGGCAGGCACTAATGCAGCAAACATGTTTGCAGTGTGAAAGTATTTAAAACTGTCCGAGTAAGACGCAAAAATCATTTCAAGCACAAATCACCAACAGCGAGAGACTGCTTAGTGCTGCATCTCATGTCTCCGATGAGAAGAGGAAGGGGTGGTTGTTACTGGTTACTGTATGATGATTGAAATTGCGAAATGGCCTTAAACAATTAGTAAATAAACTGCAGAATGATGTTTTCTACACGCATGGATTGCATGTACTCAAACAGCGCTGCACAAGCTCGCGGCGCCAGGGTTCAAAGTCCAAAGCGCGAGGCAAATCTGCGCTGAAACACAATGTTACTCATCAGTTGCTCAGTAACATTTTTATGAATTTTTTAAAGCCATGTAACAATGTGATACCTGCGACAAACATCTTCCCAAATTCTTAATGAGAATCATTTATAAATCTGTTGTCAACAAAAAGAAACACTGAGATCTTCCTGCGGGTTTCTGCCAAAATAAAAGCTGAGAAAAAGCAACAACTCCATCAACATTCATAAATGTTAGTATTGTAATTTTACTGTTGTTCTGTAGAATAAAATAAAAAAGACAATAATAATGAAAATGATAATTACCATACAACAGCTCTATTAATACTTTATTTATTATAACATTCACACATAGTGTTCAAATTGGGATCTGTAATATATTCTAATGTTTTAAAAGAAGTCTCTTCTGCTCAGCAAAGCTGCATTTATTTGTACAGTAAAAAAATACATGCCTGATTCAAGTCTCAAAAATGGCCAAAAAATATTATTTTACTAACTTATTAATTTTAAATTAAATTGTGCTTTGTTGGTGTAATGTCTGCTAGGATGTTAAACAATGTTTAGTGTTAAGTACAGGTGCATTTCAATAAATTAGAATGTCATGGAAAAGTTCATTTATTTCAGTAATTCAACTCAAATTGTGAAACTCGTGTATTAAATAAATCACGAGTTTCACAATTTGAGTTGATTACTGAAATAAATGAAGTTTTCAACAACATTCTAATTTATTGAGATGCACCTGTAAATATTTTTAAATTGTTGTTTTGTAATTGATTTTTTTATTTGAAAAGCAGGACAAAACAGTAAAAAGCACATTTTGGCTATTTAATTTATGCAATGGTGAAAAAAATGGCAAAATACATGGGGGGAAAAATGCCAAAACCCGTGTTCGGTATTCGGCCTTCGGCCCAGTGTTTCATTTTATTTGGCTTTGGCTTCGGGTAAGTATTTTCATTTCGGTGCAACCCTACTTTCATTCAAAATTTTGGGGTCAGTAGGATTTTTAAAAAATAAATTAATGCTGAATTTTATTCAGCATGGATGCATTAATTTGATCAAAGGTGATCGTAAAAACATCTGTGTTAAAATATTTCTATTTCAAATAAATGCTGTTCTTTTTAAATATATGAATTAATCAAATAATTCTGAAAAAATGTAATGTCAAATGTAAAAAAAAAAGTCAAAAATATCAAATATCATGTCAAAGGTTTCTGAAGGATCATGTGATGCTACTATAAATTAAGCTTTGCCATTGCAAGAATAAATTACTTTGAATATGAAACAGTTATTTTAATGCTGTTTCACAATATTACTATTTTACTCTATTTTTGACAAATAAATGCAGCCTTGGTTGAGCATATGAGACTTATTTCAAAATGTTAAAAAAGCTTACAGACTTAAAGTTTTGAACGGTAGAAAATATAGTTTTGGATTAATTCATTAATTCATTCATTTGACATTTTAATCAGTTGATGACTGAATAATGAAAGGAGTACAAGTGCAAACTGAAATTTGCAGGAAGAAATGAAGCTGCTATGTGCATCTGTTTTACTTTTTTATGCTTGAATTATGAATTATGGGCAATATAGTGTTTACTGGTTGTATACAATAACTTGGAGTGCATTATGGTTATAAATAAGTGGACTGTATTAGGAATTAATAGCTTTAAGCTTAAAGTGCTCAAATGAGTGTCTTTGTCCCCAAAGGGAGAGCCTGGTTTTGGTCTACCTGGACCTTTAGGCCCTACAGGATTACCAGGCAGTAAAGGTGCTCCCGGTTCTAAAGGTGATCCTGGTTTCCCTGGAAGCCCTGGTGCACCAGGTCGTCCAGGTCTTGTCGGTGCTTCTGGATCTAAAGGTAGAGATTAAATAGTAATGTTGGACTGTAAACAAATTAGATGCCTTTACATTTTTCTAACATGATTTTTTTTTTTTATTATTTGCAAATGATCTTTGCATTTTCATTTTGCTCTTAGGTGATCCTGGTTTTCCTGGTGGTCCTGGTTCTCGTGGCCCCCCAGGGCCCCCTGCCTTTGGCCTTCAGGGCCCCCCTGGTCCTCCTGGAGCTCCTGGCTCTATGGGGTCTACTGGTATGTCTGCAGTTTTTTTTATTAAAAATGTGTCCAAATATAAACGGAGAAGCTCTTCCTGTGGACTATTCAAGCATTTAATGAACTGTGAGACCAGAACAAATCTTGAATTAGAGATATTCTTTGTCTAATAAAACATTATTTTGAGGATTATAAACCTTATGCATGTAAAACTTGCCAATATCTTCTTGGAAGTATAAAAAAATGTGCGTTCGATAAAGTGTATCTCGTAAACTTTATCAAACACTGATGTTAGGACCACTATTATGGTTCTTAGTAAAACAACTCTGTAGTGTTTTACTATATCAAACCATTGTCGTCTTCTCTTCATCAGGAGTCCCTGGTGTGAATGGAGAGAAAGGAGACCGTGGCCACCCAGGTTCGAGTTTTCCAGGGTTGCAAGGTGACAGAGGAAGCCCTGGACTTCCTGGGCCTCCTGGTTCTGCTGGTCCACCTGGGGGTCCAGGACTACCTGGTCAAGATGGCCTATCAGGACTGCCCGGTAATATGATGAGAACAATATCCCCTGATGTTATCACATTTTACTGTATTTATTTAATATATACAATGTATGTTTTGTTTCTTTATGGTCTTTCTCTACTAATCCTATATCATTATTACAGGGCCTAAGGGAGACATTGGTGGGATGGGTGCTCCAGGACCTGCAGGTGCCCCTGGCAACCCTGGCAGACAAGGCTTTTCAGGACCAAAAGGTCTGATACCATTTTTGGCTTTAGCTCAAATTTCTGAAACAATTTCATAAAGTCCCTTGTAGAGTGAAATATTATTGTGCTCTGTGCCCCGGCAGGAGATGACGGTGTCCCAGGACGACCAGGAAGCTCAGGTTTCCCAGGATCAAAGGGAGACAAAGGTGACCCAGGCATTCCAGGCCCACCTGGCCTAGGCCCACCTACAGGTCTACTTAAGGGACATAAAGGAGAACCCGGATCTCCAGGTGAGCTGCTAACTTCATGTAGAATGACTTAATTTCTGAACTTATATGTTTTGTTTTCTTTGTATGTATGGATTACTTGGGTTGTTACCAACATCTGGTGAAAATGTCATGTCAACAGCACCTTTAGAAATATATTTACTGGGAAAAATGGTGACGTGTTCAATACTTATTTTACCCGCTGTATATATACATATATATATGTGTGTGTGTGTGTGTGTGTGTGTGTATGTTAGGAGGTTCACAAATAAATAGAATGGGATTTGAACACAAATATGTTATGTCACAAACGCAACTATGCCTGGCATTCATTTGTGAATTCACTGCACTCATGGATTTTAAAACATGTCTACCATCAAGACACACAAATCCACATTTCGCTGGCCAATCGTAGCATGTTCTTGCTGCAACCAGTCACATTTTGCTTTACAGTCAAATCTAAACCCATATACTAGTGGTCACCAATATAGATTTTTTGATTGTCCGATGGCCAATATAAAGTAAAAACATATGATACTGCACAATTTAAAGAAATAACCTAAAAACCTGCTATTAAATTTATATTTGTTTAACATAATTTTTTAGTCAAATAATTACAAATTATTTGAAAATTAGTACATTTTTGATTTACTAAAATCTGTGAAATAAATATATGCTTTAGATAGCAACTAAATGGTATTATGGTATTTTCAAAAATAAAGAAATAAACAATGTAACCAACAGTTTACTCAGTAATCCAAAACGTCTGTGTGCACTGGGGGTTATATTTTCTCAAATAAAGACCATTTAATGCCCAAAAAAGTCCCATTTATGACAGTTATTGACCGAACAGAAAAACGTATTAGCCAATGTCGATAATGAAAAAATGCCCAGTGTCAGCTGGTGTATCAGCCTTGGCGAAATGTTGGTCAACCACTACTTTCTTCATAATTACCTTTTCTCATACCTTTTCTTTGTGATTGGTGCATGAGTGGGACCATCTCTTATTTAAAGAAAACTGGGTCCCTCCTTGACGTGTGTTTTTTCCAAATTCAGAATGAAAAGAATGGATCCTTTTAATCCCCTCATATATTTTGGTCACTCCACGATTCTCTTTATTTGTTTTGTAGGTTTTAGCGGACCACCAGGAGCAAAGGGTATTCCCGGTATCCCTGGAGATCCTGGTCTCCCTGGGCAAGATGGAAGGCCAGGTCTACTGGGACCTCCAGGTAAAGCAGACAAGTGCACATATTTGAGCCATAAAAAAAAGCATCTTCAATCAACTAGTCTACTGTATGTGCATATGTACTATTCAATGGGTTTTGGTTGACAAGTTTAATGGATTTTTTTTATGGGTCATGTCTAGGCCTCAAAGGTGATCCTGGTATTCCAGGAACTCCAGGGTCTCCAGGAGCCCAAGGACTGAAGGGTAGGATGGGGGAGATGGGATTACCAGGTCAGCTCTTCATTCTCGTACAACTCAAAACCATTGACCGTTGTTTCTGAGGCTTTGAAATCTTAAAGCTAGACTGAGACAATCTGTTTTGTTATAGGAGTTCCTGGAGTGAAAGGAAACTACGGCCAAACAGGCCGATCTGGCCAGCCTGGTTCCCCAGGAACACCAGGGTTCCCGGGACCCAAAGGTGATCCTGGCTCACCAGGATTTGGATTACCGGGAACTCCTGGGCCACAGGTAAAAACATCATGTTTTCTGCTTAAACATTGAGAATATTTACTTTAATATTTAATCCTATTAAATTCCCAGGGTGAACCAGGCCCTCCAGGATTTCCTGGAACCCCTGGTCTGAAAGGCCAGCCTGGCCTTTCAGGATCTTCAGGCTTGCCTGGTAGCCCTGGACCAAAGGGTGATCCAGGACTCCCAGGATTCCAAGGTGCACCTGGCATTACTGGCCCTAAAGGTTTGGATGGTGCTCCAGGCACTTCTGGTCCTAGTGGAGCATCTGGTAGGCCAGGAGATCCTGGACGACCTGGATTAACTGGCCTCCCTGGTGATAAAGGTCTTGCTGGACGTGATGGTATTCCAGGACCTCCGGGACAAAAGGGTGAACCAGGTTAGTCTGAATCCAAAAGAAATCAAAAATGCATTGGATGTGCTCAATGTAGTATATGTATCTAGAATCATTTGTTTTTAACTTTTTACCTAGGCACTCCAGGCCTTGGTGGCCCAGGCCCACCCGGTTTCCCCGGTTCACCAGGTAAAGTACTGAATGATATTTTCATGTATCTTCATTTTTACACCAGAGAACTTGTAACAAATTCCTCATCATAATTTTCATAACAAATTTACAATAATTGGCTGTTTTTATAGGGACTAAAGGAGACCCCGGTTTTCCGGGTCCTGCCGGTAGTCCTGGATTTCCTGGTCCAAAGGGGGATGCAGGATTTCCTGGGTTGCCTGGCCCAGTTGGTTCTGGAGGACCACCTGGGCCTCCAGGCCTGCCTGTGCAAGGACCTAAAGGTTTCCAAGGCCCACCTGGTGCCCCCGGAAGAGCTGGTAAGTTAAGCATCTTATCCTTTTGGCCAGCTCTGCCCTCTGGGTTTCAAGCCGACATTTGCCTTTATTTTGGTTTAATTTTAATAAAGAGTAGCCTGGAGTAGAATGTCTAAAAAAGAACAAACTCTTAAAATAGAATAAGTTTTTTATCCAAAATAAGTATCCAAAGAATTGTTTTAAGCAGAACTTCTAAATTGGCCAACGAAAACACAATTTTGTAATCCCTTCAAATACTGGCTTCACCACATACTTCTAATATTTAATACTGTGCTTTACCACAGTGTTTGTTGTTTTTCTTATGTATGCCTACACCCAACAGAAGCAAAACAAATTGTCTGGTAATTCACACAACTTACACACTGTTTAGTTTAAAAAGGAACTGAATGTATTAACAACATTAATTTTTATCTGCTGTCAGCCCCAGTACTAAGTCATAAATCTGTTTTAGAAATTCAACAAAAAAGTCAGCTACAAGTACTCCTGTTTGGGAATCACTTCATCAGCACATGTAATATTATGATTGTGAACCAGAGGGCATACTGGCTTTGTTTTTGTTGGTTTGGCTGATTTGCATGGAATATTGCACAAGCAGTCATGATTATGCCATATCCATGTCCAATGAGCACAAATACACTCACTCTTTAGATGACAGAGCACAAGACACACTGTTTGCATTACCTTCACTGCAAGTGATCTTCTGTTCTCATCACTCCCTTCCTTTATTGTGTACCGGTTTGTCATGTGTTAGAGAGAAGTGAAGGATGTGCATGCATGAAGAGGTTTTGTGCAGTCATTGTTTCACAGTTGCCCAGTCAGGGCTTTATGAGTATTACACACATTCACTTACACTATCCAAGGTTAGCTGTTCACCCATCCATTCATCTATCATCATTCACTCTTGTGTGTCTTCACTTCCACCCGTCCCTTTTACTCAGCAGTAAAAGCTGCAGTGTTATCCACAGGACACTGTCTATGTCTGTCTGTCACCAAATGAAACGAGGGTGCATCTGGCATTTTTGCATGGGAAATGTGCTGATTTGTAAGAAATGAAAAGCCATTGCAAGACTATCTAAAATGGGCTCCACCTTGGAAAAAAGAGCTAAAACATTAATGAATTCTGCTGCACTTCATATAAAATAGATATAAAGCTTTTGAATTTGGTGAAGAAGGAGACCATTTTGGCTAGTGTCTGTTGGGCTTATTTTTACCCAGGCATGTTCTGGGTATCATATGCATTTTCTGTTTTACTTCACTTTTCGTGAGAATGGCTCTGCTCCTCCTGATGACATTGGATCTTTGCAGGCTCGGCAGGTCAGCTTCTTCATGTTATAGAGCTGATTTTTATACTACAATGCGTAACTGTATTAGAATTAATTTTAATTTAATCTACCTATTAATGATTTGTGATTCATCTATATTATGTGTCTACACATGTAGCTCTACTTTGGTTGTACAAGTATATACAAAATAATATAAAAAGTAGTATTACCACATTGTAAGTGTGTAGTGTAAGTGTAGATAACCATATCCTGTTAATATTAGAGTAGATTATCAGATTTTGCACATGCACAAGGATATTACTATGTAGGAATTTGCCTATAGTATGATTATGAATGTCTCATGTAAATGTCTCAACCCAACTGCAACAACTCAGTTAAGCCAGAATTCCAAGAGCAAGTATTTTTTTGAAGAGAATAGCAGAAAATAATGTGCATGTCTTGATTATATGGAATATCATGACTATACTATGTACAGCTATATTCAGTTATGTGTTGAACATGTGAACCTTTTTTTGCTAAGTTTGGCTTAACCAGAATAATGATGAGCATGTACACACTACCATTCAAAAGTTTGGTGTCTATAAGTCTTTTCCTCGCCAAAGCTATTTGAAAAACACAGCAGAACAGTAATATTGTGAATTAATTAATTTTGTGAAATTTCATATTTCTGTTTTCTATTATTATTTAAAAAAAAAAATGTTATGTAATGTATGGTTATGTAAATGCAATGTCAAATATGCTAATCTGTTTCTTCAGTAATGCATTCTGTAAAACAATTTGACAAAACGTATCTATTCTTCAACACATCACATTACTTGTGTTGCTGTGCTCTGTATTTAAAACTTTTACCTTGTTCTTTGCTTCTCCTCTTGTTGGACTTTTGGGAACCCGTTGACCTTTGACCCCTCTATAGGTCCTGCAGGTTAGACATCTTGGTTTGATACTCACCTGTGTCATGCTGTGCACTTCCATTTGTTATTAGATGATTTACCTCTGCATATGAGGTTGAGTGGGACTCATTCTTCATTTTTGATGTTTAACTTTCTTACCCCCATCCAATTATAGGAATATAGTTATGAGTGTTTAGTTGATCTCTCTTTGTGCCTTCTCCAAGAATATCCCAGAACCATTCAGCACACCACATACAACAATATACATGATAAACATGCACACAAATCCGGACATCAATGCTTGGTTAAATAATATTGACAATGATTTCATGTTGTAAGATAAATCCTGTTTGTTAATCAGGTACCATTGAAACAGGTAGAAACTGATTTCTTTTCTGTGAATGTGAAGGTTCTCCTGGCCCTGAGGGTCCCCGTGGACCTCCAGGTAGTGGAGGAGTAAAAGGTGAGAAGGGCATGCCTGGACTCCCTGGGATACCTGGTGCACCAGGACTGAAAGGAGATTACGGTCCCCCTGGCTTTTCGGTAAGCACTATAGATGTGGTTTAAAAAGAAAGTTAAGTTATTGTTAGCAAAGGCTTTCATACAATTTGCATTTGTAGAATCATTGTAGGCTGCATTTGGTTTATGTGGGTTTTCTGACACTTTGCTGAAAAGAGGGCAATATTTTGTTTTGTTAATGGCTCTCTGGAATATATGATTCTGACTGGTCAATTCTAACATACTCTGGTCAGATATTTCTTGATAATGACCGCTAAATGATATGATTGGCAACCAATTTCCTGCATAGTTGTTCTAGTATGTCTTTGGTATCTCTGCTGTCTCACGTGATAAAATTATTTCAAATAATATAAAGAGTTGTTCATTTATTTATAAATTTCCGTTTATAATATTAATTTAATCGGATAATGATGTTTGTTATTTGTTTTTTAAAAGGGTACTCCAGGAAATCCAGGACCTAGCGGCCTGAAAGGAGATACTGGACCTCAAGGTGTTCCTGGATTCCCAGGTCGGTTTTCTTTCTACAACCATTAAGGATTTGTTTACAAAAATAATACATGTCTGTAATCATTTATACACCCTAATGTTGTTGAGTCCCATTTGCTGTTATTTATTTCATGGAACACAAAAGGATATTTTTTTAATATTCTAAAAATGACATATGAAGCACAGTGACCGATTAGTTTCAAAATTACATTAAGAAAATGATCATTTGAATTTGTACTGTTTTTGATATATTTTCAATCAAATAAATTGATCATATGTATGATTCTTCATAATTCTTCTTTTGTGTTCCACACAAAAACATAACAGTGTACATGTACATGCGAATTTGCCATTGTACTATTTTATGGCTGATGTGTTTTAATTAATAGGCTAATAATGAACCACAAACTACGATCGTTTTTAAAAAAAGGGGAAATCCAAAGACCGTTTATTTGTTACAATGCAGGTGAAACATATTTTCCTTATTCATATTGTTAATAAAAGTTCAAAGTTTAATATAAGTAAATTTGTCATCATACTGTTTTATTGTATAGCCTTTTGTATTATTATTAATAATAATAATGAGCCACAAACTAAGCATTCGTTTGAAGTAAGGGGAAAATCCAAAAACCTTTTATTTATTTGTTACAACGCGGGTATGTCTTATTCGTTCTGTTGATAAAAGTTTTATGTTTAATATAAGCTACTTTGTCATTGTATTATTGCTGATGTTGTGTGTGGGATTTTTTTCCCATTAAGAGTAATACTGAATCAACCTTAAGCATTAATTTTGTTCCAAGAATATGAAAGATCTAACGTTAAATATCAAAATAAGCGCTGTAGAAGCGAGAATGCGAGATTGTTATTATTATTGGTTGCTGCTGAGGTAATAGACGCTCTCGGTCTTTCTCGGTTGTATCTTCGCAATGGCTGTAGAAATGGTCGTTAATTCTTGATTTGGGTCCGGCACAGACATGTTACAGGTAATTCATGTTTAACTGTTGCTTATTGTCACTGTAGGCTTAGGCTATTTTTTTCCATGAATTTTAATTAATATACAAATTAATACAATTAGTTTTATTTATTTTTTGTTACAACATTTTCATTTATTTATTTTTAACACCGCACCCCCAGCCCCCCATTTTTTCTTGGGCTACATGCCATGGGGGTGCTGCAGCACCCTCAGCACCCCTACTTCCTGCGGTAATGCACGAGCAACACGTATGTTAATTACTAAGGCAAAATTTCATGGTTATATAGTTTAGTAACTAATGTTCTGTTTCAGATATGGGGGATCACATTCTTCCTTTTTTACTTACTGGTCAAAATTAATAAGTGACAGGACTGTTTCTCTGTTATAGGACCTAAAGGACAGCCTGGCCTTCCTGGATCTAATGGCAACCCAGGAGAACGTGGTGACACTGGAACACCAGGTGAGTCATTTTAAAACCTGGATATTTTCCCCCTTACAATTCCAATGAAAATGCATCCTCTACTACTCCTCTCCCCTCTGTTGACTACAGGTTCTCCTGGTGAGCCAGGCTTTGCTCCAAACCCAATTATTTTGAAGGGGGAGCGTGGTCAATCTGGACCACCTGGTATTCCAGGCAGCAGAGGCCCAACAGGTCCCTTGGGATTGCAGGGTCTTCCAGGTTAGTGGATATATTTAGATTGTACACAGTACAGTTAAAAAAAATATTATAGCTGATACCTGATCTGGGCTGCGCTTCTCAAAAGCATTGTGAGCTAAGCTGATCGTAGAGACCATTGGTGCCATTGGTTATATGATCTACTTAGGTTTACGATGCTTTTGGGAAAAGCAGCCCTGGTCTTTTTCCTCGTCATGTCTGATTTCATTTCTACCTTTAGGTTCGCCTGGTGACCCCGGAGACCCAGGTCCAATGGGACCTCCAGGATTTACCGGCTCACCAGGAAGGAAGGGAGATACAGGACCAGCTGGACAACCAGGTAATGTTAAGGTCCAAGACGTGGCTTGGTGGGTAGACATGTTGCACAGGGCTTATCCAAATTCAAATCCAGCTTGGGTCATTTTCCAGTACTTGGTGCATCTCCACTGTCTTGTCCAATAAAGGCCAAAAGGCCTTTAAAGATTCAAGTTTTTAAAAAATGTAAAAATGTTATTCACCTAAAAATGAAAATTCTGTCATCATTTACTCACCCTCATGTCTTTCCAAACCCCTAAGACTATACAGATTTAATTTAGGCTGTTATTTACATATAAACACATACATAGAACGCGTTACAAGCGGTAAACGCTGAAGCTTATGTGTACGTCACGTGTGTCACACACTAGAACAAACCTCATGGTTCTCGTGCATTACACACATGCTCAAGCTTCCATGTTTACCATAAAAATTCTGTCATCATTTACTCACCCTCATGTCTTGCCAAACCCCTAAGACTATACAGATTTAATTTAGGCTATTATTTACATATAAACACATACATAGAACGCGTTACAAACGGTAAACGCTGAAGCTTATGTGACGTGTGTCACACACTAGAACAAACCTCATGGTTCTCGTGCATTACACACATGCTCAAGCTTCCATGTTTACCATATTTGATGTGCTCTATGTATTAGATGTAAATAAAAGCCTAAATTAAAGGGGTCATGAACTGCCTTTTTAATTATTTTGTACTGTTCTCTGAGGTCCCCTTATGATGTTATCAAGATTTTTACATCAAAAAACATAATTTAGAAATAATAAGCTATTTTCTGTCCTGTTTTGACTCCCCTCATCAGACCGCTCTGTTTGAATAGGCGTGATGGATTGTAGACTCGGAAGAAAATGCCCACTGCTATGATTGGCTAACACTTACGTATGTTTGACAGCCTACATCCTTCATAGATGGACGCTGCTGTGATTTAGGTCAAAAAATAAATGCTAAGTACATATCAAACAATCTGTAATAACAGACAAAGCAATAGTGACAAGGTAATAAAAACAGTTACGCACACTTGTGTGGTGCGACATTACTGTTGGATCCAATATTGACTATATTGCCTTATAGTCATTATATTATAATGCACAGCATTGTCTTTTATTTTCAATCATTCTGAAAATCCTGCATGGAATTGTGTCTTGTTTGTAAACGAATCCGTGGTAAAAAGAAGTGAACAAAGGACCAATTCCTTACTGGCGTGGTTTGGAACTTCATTAAAAATAAAGTTCATCCACTCTTTCCTTATGTTGGGATCAGAAGGAAGGCAATGCAAAGACTCTTTTACCACAACTTAGCACTGCACAGTGTCTTGCTGTATTCACAGCCATCATTATCATTTTGTTTCTGCATAGACCTGCATTCGCCTCTCGTTATTTACACTACATGCATGAAGCGGTGGGCGGGGCTAATCAGGCAGCGATGTAGAAGCAGGTGTTGATCTTCTTCTGCAGAGGCAGTGTTTAGCCACACTATTACATCATAGAGTGGCACATTACAAAAGCTGTCGTTCTGGCAGACTGGCTTCAATATAAGCTGATTTTAGATTAACGAGTATGTTTTGAGTTCTGAAACATACAGGATGTTTTATAGCACAATGACCGCTTATATGTCAAAAGATCAAGGGAATTTTGGTTTCTCAGTTCATGGCCCCTTTAAAGGGGTCATATGATGCGATTTCAAGTTTTCCTTTCTCTTTGGAGTGTTTGGAGATTGTGAATAGATAAGATCCCTGAAGTTGCAAAGACTAAAGTCTCAAAACCAAAGAGATATTCTTTATCAAAGTTAAGACTCTGCCACTGATCGTATCTCTTCAAAAGACTTGGATTAAACTGCTTGATTCATATGGATTCATTTTCCATTTATGATATGAGGGTGTGTAACAATACCTGACATTGTTGCTGATATGAAGGTGAGCAAATGATGACAGAATTTTCATTTTTGAGTGGACTATCCCTTTAAGGATCATCCTTAAAATTGGTGGCTCTATTACTCTTTTTTCAGATTTTTGGAAACAGCAGGAACAGGAAGCTTATAAGCAGTGCCTGAATCTTCCCCACTTCCATGTATCATCCTCACAATAACCATAACTTAATTATTTACAGGTTCGCGTGGTTACCCCGGCCCTCCTGGTCCAGAAGGGATTCAGGGCCCTCCAGGTATCGCAGGATCATCGTCTGCCGCACACGGTTTTCTGATCACGCGCCACAGTCAGACCACAGAGGTGCCATCGTGTCCTGGTGATACAAGACTCATCTATGATGGCTACTCTTTACTCTATGTGCAAGGCAACGAGAGGGCGCACGGACAGGACCTGGGTGAGTGTCCCCCAAAACACATAGAGCACACGCATGTAGTATTTTCTTTCTAACATCACATGTATCATGACTAATATGTTTTTTCTTCATTCAAATTAACATCAGGTACGGCTGGTAGTTGTCTACGTCGTTTCAGCACGATGCCTTTCATGTTCTGCAACATTAACAATGTCTGCAACTTCGCTTCCCGCAATGACTACTCCTATTGGCTGTCCACACCACAGCCCATGCCCATGAACATGGCGCCTATCACTGGAGAGAGCATCAAACCTTTCATCAGTCGGTAAAAGAAGGTCACTCTGACACAGATGATGAGTAGGAGTGGAATCTGTGGTTTGGCAAATTTACCTGAATCTATTGAATTATCTGAATCATTTTGTGTGTATGTGCAGGTGCTCTGTGTGCGAAACTCCAGCCATGGTGATTGCTATACACAGCCAGACCATTCAGGTGCCATCCTGCCCAGACTACTGGGCCGTGCTCTGGATCGGTTACTCCTTCATGATGGTATGCACCATATGCACTCTTGGGGGAATTTATTTAGAAAGAATTGAATATTAGTAATATTAGTAAACATTAATCTGCCAAATCAAAGTCTAACCTACATATAAGAAGCTTGTATCTAACTGTTGACCCAGTTAGAACTGAAGTTCTCAACCTTTTTGACTCCAAGGCCAAAGGCCCCCTATTGTCACAACAATATTTGAAGGCCCCATTGTAGGCTTTCTCTGGTACTTTCTACTGTAATGATGTGACAAATAATTCTTTTATTTACAGAAACTAGAAGTGTGCAAACATTAAAATAAGTAACTAAGATAATTAAGTTCTACGTGCTGAATGTTATTTTTAACCATTTTTTTTATTTATGATTTTCCAATCATTCCTGATTTACTGGATAAGGATTAAAGATAAGAATTTTTAAAACATAGTTTTACTTAAAACATTTTATTTAACTAAAACGTATAAATCGCCTATGGTGTATTAAGATTTTATTAATTGACATGATTTTTACAAGTCTGAAAGTCAAACTTTTAGAATGAGGTTACGTCTTGTATCCAGGTTTTTAAGACTGTGGGAATCCTGGTTATTTAAAGCTGCAGTCCGTAACTTTTTTTTTTTGTTAAAAATGATCCGAAATCAATATTTGAGCAAGTACATAACCAGCCAGTGTTCAAAACTATCACCTTACCTACTTTATTACATTATAATAATGTTTTCTAATTTGAGTACTGGTAGGAATTCGTGGGAAATTACGTCACGCCTCTAAACATAATGAAGTTGTCCCAGCTAGTATACTATATCACACGTGAGGATCCTGCAGATGGAGGATCGTTTATAGTCTTTTCTCACAGCAGCTGGAATAATTAAAGTTATCATTTTGATGGGGAATTGTAATCCAGAAAGGATTATGTGTTTATTAAACACATGTGACTGAAATTAAATTATACTCCAGTTTTAAATGTGCATCTGATTAATGTTACAGATGGGATTACACAAGATTTGTATTTTAAAGAGAACCAGTTCGAAGGAAGAATAATTTGCTTTTTGGGTTAATGGAATTTCTTAATATGAAATTCGAATGGAATGATAATTAGAGATTAGACTGTACAGAAATTGAAATCTACACGCTAATACACTATATACACATAGTCATGCAATACTGATGTTGTTAAGTATAACAATAATAATAATTTGCACGGTTTGATGTGATATGAGCTAATTTAGATTAAATCACCATTGGTAGCGCGATTTATTGTAATGCTTTTTTTCCTCAGTTGGTCAGAACAAACGTGGCAGACTTGTTACTTACTTATTCAGATGACAATATCCAGTGAAAATTCTTATTTGATGTAGATGGGACAAGATGTAGGCTAGAATCTGTGATTCCTAAGTACAGTATCCACACCGGTGTGGTGACTGATTGCCACACACACATACTCCTCAAAACAATAGATTCATCCGCGCTGGAGCCGCGCCCACTCACAACCCATGCAGGGAAGATAATTCCGCTAATAACTGCAATTGCTTTAAAACCGAGATGGCGACAAAGAGGCAAAACATATGGACTGCAGCTTTAAAGGAAAAAAAGTTGTTTGGGGGGGGGAAGAAATATCTTGATTTTGAGTTGTTTTGGCTTATTTTAAACATCGTTTCGTTGTTGTTATTTGATGTCATCTTAGGCCCTCTAGTGAGTCCCGGCTTCCTGATTCAGAAACACTGCATTAAGACCATTGTGATAAAATAAATGTACTTCTTGAGATTCATAAAGAATAACAACAACAACAAAACATTTTGAAAACAAATAATTTTTGGTTTTAAGGTGTCTTTGTTACACATTACATGTACTTACTATTATAATAACAATAAAGTATTCATAATTACATGCAAGTAACCCTAATCCTAACCATATAGTAAGTACATGTAGTTAATTAATATTACTCAGTACTTAAATGTATAATTACACTGCAACAAGGACACCTTAACTTAAAGTGTAACCAAATTTTTATACTGGTTTACATCACATTTTTAAACTCTTCAAGTCCGAGTTGAAATGTTGTTCAAATAAAAACAGCATGAATATAAAAGTTGCATTTTTAAAAACTGGCATATTTTTTAAAAGATCTACTACATCCTTGTTGGTTTTTGCCTCACATTCATTACTCATCTTGCTCTGTGTAACAGCACACCAGTGCAGGTGCTGAGGGCTCAGGTCAGGCTCTTGCCTCTCCCGGTTCCTGTCTGGAGGAGTTCCGCTCGTCTCCGTTCATCGAGTGCCACGGTCGAGGCACCTGCAATTATTACAGCAACTCGTACAGCTTCTGGCTGGCCACTGTGGATGTGAATGAAATGTTCAGGTAATATTTCATTCCAAACTATGACAGCTTCAAAAACAACAATTCTTCTTGGCAGCTTTCTTGAAAACTGCAAATGTCACACTGTTTTAAAATCAAACGATGTCTATCATCAGAGTCTTTTTTTCTCTCTGCCCAAACAGAAAGCCGCAGTCAGAGACACTGAAAGCTGGAAACTTGCAGACCCGTGTGAGCCGCTGTATTGTGTGTATGAAGAGGACGTAACGTAGTGACATTTTTGCAGTCTGTTGTTGTTGTTGAGGATCAGCCATCACTTACAACGACTGCGGCCATCATGCTGATTTCCAGTGAAGTTTCATTGGTGCAGTATCTTCACATTTAACTCTATGGTGCTACTGTGTGACACAGCAAAAGAAACTGAACAAAATCAATGAATTTATTAGTCTTTTTTATTTTAAAGAAGTACCTCAAAAGAAAAATGCAGATCCAGCAAGGTGCCATGGCAGTTGTGACAACAATGTGCATTAGAATTTTTTTTTTTTCTCTAGAGATTCTTTTCATGTAATATTTTCCTACAAGAATTTTTTAATGTTGGTACACAAATGGTACATTTTTGGGGAGAAGCACTCTCTCGCTTTTTTCTATTTTCTTTCGAGTGGAATTGTCTCCATGTTACCAAATCGGCACTTTAATGGGACTGCTTTTTTAAGGCTATCATTTTTCCCCAATCACTTTTTCTTCTTTATTAGTGGTACTAACACTGCTGTATCAGGACTTTTTTAGCATTGTGTCATTTATCTCTTTTTGTAAGTAATAAAATGTGTATATTGTGTAAAACACCTTTTTAGCGTAAAAACAAAACAGATCTTTTTAATTAATTTCTGGGTTCTTTGTCAGTATGCTCACCACTCACTCCTTTATTCACATATTAGTTCCACATTCTTTTACACTGACATTTGTACAAAGAACTTTCTTTAAATTAAACAGTATTTTATAAATTTATATATTAAAAAGAACATATATATCCAGAAACTTGATTTGGCTGAGATCGGACTCCTTTATTCACATATTAGTTCCACATTCTTTTACACTGACATTTGTACAAAGAACTTTCTTTAAATTAAACAGTATTTTATAAATTTATATATTAAAAAGAACATATATATCCAGAAACTTGATTTGGCTGTAGGAGGGGTTTTTTTTCATTCAGTAGTTGTTCTTCATAGCACATATGCGTAAATTGAATTGTTTTTACAGACCTCTCCTCTCTTCAGATTTCATTTAACCAGCAAGCACATTTCTGTGAAAATCCATCAAATACTAGTGTTATGAATTTGTAAACTTTTCAGTAGTTCTTATGTTATATTATGCCACAGTGTGGCCTGTCACTGCTTCAGATTAGATGAACCACTGTCTGTCAGCAAATGTGAACATAGACTACACTGTGGCATATTATATTACAGTTACATAATATATACATAGTTTTGTGTATGCACAGTTGTACACAGTACATACCTACAATTTGCTTATAGTGATGGTTCATCTAACCTAAAACAGTGAAGCTCTTTTCACATGTCATCATGGGTTGCAAAAATGTGTATTTCAAAATCCTTTCCCCCTTTTATGTCTAGTATCCAGAAAGTGTTATAAACTTAAATGACTGAAATAAAAGAAACAAACTTTGCCTGTGCATGGTGAACTTTTTTTAGAGTGAGATTCTGGATGTTTTGTTCTGGTTAGTTACGACAGTATTAGTGTGGTACATTACAACAGTGTTATTTTTCTTCGCAGTAAGTTTCTTCATCTAAAGCATCCAGTCTTGCTGCATGGAATCCAAAAATACAGTTTTATGGTGGTGGACCACTAAAGGGAGAACTGAGTTAGGACTGTAGAGCTGCACCAAACAGCTGTCTTTATCCTGTCAGACATCTATGCCAGTATATAGATATAGAGTGCAGCAAAACTGCAGATTTCCAGCCACTGTTTTGTTGTGTAGTAATACATGATGATTCAATCACAACATGATGGTAAGTGGATGTAAAATCCATTCAAATAAATCTGGTTTGTGTTGTATTTTTCCTGTTAGTGTATCACTCTCCTTCCCTCCTTCCTGCTCTTTCTGATTCTAACAATGTGCTTGTTATCCTGTGGTATATTGGTTAATGACTAAGCTTTGAGTTTAGGAGAGGTTATTAGGACCTAAATAGTCCATATAAGATCCAGTTGACAAACTGAGTGTTGATATTTGGCAAGAGCTAAGCTCTCAATAGGATCAGTGAGCAGATGACAATGACCCCATTGCCATTGGGATAATGGTATTTGTTCCAGCCAACAACAAGCCCAAGGCGCAACGACCAAGCTCTTTACAAAAATTACTTAAGTGGTCTTATTCCTAGAAGGAACCAAAACAAGGGTCAACATTGGTTCTGAATGAATAAAGCTTGATCCGAAAGTTCATTGTTCACTATTTGTGCAACTGAATCGTTCAGTCAGGCTCTGAATGAGTCGGGCTATTATGAAAAGATTTTTTTTCTTTGTTTTTAGCATTCATGGACGATAATAGACAGATGGCAACTTTTATAGACATATACTAATGGTTAACTGTCATAAATATGTATCCAAAATATATAGTAGGCATATACAACCTGCATATTCATACCTTAAGTTAAGCCGTTCAAGTTGAAGATAACCATACAATCTGATTTTGGATTAACTTTGACTTTGGATTAAGTTTGCGTCTATGGAATGGTTCAAGGAATGAGACACGTCAAATCTGTATTTCCAGGTAGTTTGCCCCTTAGGGGTATATCGGATGACATGCATGATTTAGGGAATAACCTTTTGCTTAATGAGCTTTAAAAAGGAATCGCTGCTTATGTCTGTTTTGAAACATGAGCACCTAGTGGCAAGTACTACATCTCCTGAGAGCTGGAATTTGGCGTAAACGTTCACATGTTGCCCCTGAGCTCATGATCCACATGCAACCTAAGCCCTAATAGAACCTTCATTTGTGCACATACTGTACAAGCTACTGAAATCAAATGAGCTGCAGGGAGAAACCTCAGCTCCTAATGATGCAGAAACGTCTATCAGAGGAGGATTCCCCGTCTTCGCTCTGCAGTGGTGCAGCCAAGATTTTAGCAAGGGTTGTTAGAAGTGCATTGGGAAATCACACTGACTCACTCTTCTAAAACCGATCTGTCGTTCAAATGAAATTAAGCGATGTTACACAAGCACCTGTGCTGTTGCTAATATCAGCACTGGTACAAGGTACAAGGTTGCAGAAGTTCATTTTGAGTAACATATACATTCTTACATACATGCATACACACACACACACACACACACACATTCAAGTTACAGTTATATAATGAATATGGGCTTAAAGTGCACACGATCTCTCCATGCAGGTGAAACAGACAATTGTTAGGCTTCAAAAACAAAACAAATGCCCATCAGAGAGAGCAGGAACATTCAGAGTGACCAAATCAACAGTTTGGTACATTCTGAGAAAAAAAGAAAGCATTAGTGAGCTCAGCAACATAAAAACGCCTGGGCGTCCACGGAGGACAACAGTGGTGGATGATCGGAGAATCCTCTCCATGGTAAAGAAAAACCCTTTCACAACATCCAGCCAAGAGAAGAACACTCTCCAGGAGGAAGGTGTGTCACAGTCAATCAAGAGAAGACTTCACAAGATCAAATACAGAGGGTTCACCACAAGGTGCAAACAAGGCCATATTAGACTTTGCCAAAAAACATCTAAAAAAAAAAAAGCCACACCTCTGCAAAAGCATTCTTTGGACGGCTGAAATTAAGATCAACCTGTACCAGAATGACGGGAAGAAAAAAGTATGGAGAAGGCTTGGAACAGCTCATGATCCAAAGCATACAACATCATCTGTGAAACACCATTGTGATGGCATGAGCATGCATGGCTTCCAGTGGCACTGGGTTACTGCTGCTTCTGTCTTCTGTTCAATCTCCTGATTTCAACCCAATTGAACATGCATTTCACTTGCTGAAGACAAAACTAAAGGCAGAAAGACCCACAAACAAACAACAACTGACGTCAGCTGCAGTAAAGGCCTGGCAAAGCATCACAAAAGAAGAAACCCAGTCTTTGGTGATGTCCACGAGTTCCAGAATGAAGGCAGGCCATTGCCTGCAAAGGATTCTCAACAAAATATTAAAAATGAACATTTAATTTATGATTATATTTATTTGTCCAATTACATTTGAGCCCCTGAAAATGGGGGAACTGTGTATAAAAATGGTTGTAATTCCTAAGCATTTTATATTTTTGTTCAGCCCCTTGAATTAAAGCTTAAAGTCTGCATTTCAATTTCATCTTGATTGTTTTATTTTTAATTCTGTTCTGGCATACAGAGCCGAAATTATGAAAATTGAAAATTGTGTCAATTATGAAAATTGTGTCAGTGTCCAAATATATATATATATATATATATACACACCTAACTGTGTGTGTGTGTGTGTGTGTGTGTGTGTGTATATATAATAGGGATTAACTTCCTATTTTCCTATTACCATTTGAAGAAATTGCCATTCAAGCTGAATTTAAAATGATGTTACAGTATCTTGATTAAGTAGCCTATCGACTAATAATTGACATCAAATTGATATCAAAGTATCCGCTGGGTTACAGTATCAGTTGAGTCACTTCATTGCCATTCACAACCCTTCTCCAGTAGCCTCATTCATGAATGCACTATTCAGAATCATGTCAGAAATACTAGGTCAACTGGGTACTTTTGCCTTCTGTTTTATGAATAGTCAACTCTGACATATTACTCACATACTATATCGTTATATTCGGATGCAGTCATGGTGGTTTGCTCCTCAATGACCCAGACAGCAGACAGTTTCGGCCCAGATCCGGCCCACATCTGCCCTGCATGGATTTCACATGGGCCAGATGTGGGCCGGATCTGGGCCAACACTATGTTGCTGTCTGGGGAGTCAGTGTTTTTGAACGAACTGATTGAGTCCATGATTCAGTGACTCACAATCACTTCTCGCCACCTGGATCTCCAGTCTGCCTGGACACTAAAACGGAAATTAAACATTTCCCTTTCTTTATATTCAGTTAGCCTTCAGCAAAGGATCTTACATCATGACATTAGGTTCAACTGTGATATTTGGACCTGACATTTCACATCAAATGATACCAATGTGTGCTGCTGCCAGTGAAGGTGCAAGGTGTCAGACACAGCATATAGGGGATTGATTCTGTACATTAGCGAGCAGTGCCAAAACGCTTATATTTAAATACTGAAAATCCAATTAAGGGCATCATTATAGAGGAACAACAACAGTTCATGACATGGTCACTGTGTGTAGAAGGACGGTATCACTCCCTAGATACATGTGAGTAGATCTCTGTAGTGGTTTGAGGCCCCTAAGGAGATAATAGTTTCCTGGTTTAAGTGTCTTACTACATGCTCACGGGCAAATAAGCTCTGAGATTCTGGGAAAGAAGTCGACCCCCCTGAAAAGTTCACTTGCAATGGTCAGTTATCCGCTTTGATTTCCCCAAGCTACTTACCGACACTGCTTACTGGCATGAGCGTGCTGGGGGAGGGTGGGGGGTTAGGGGTGTTATGGCGTGCACCCAGTGACGCATACATGTGTGTGCTTGTCTTTTTTTTATCAGATGTAGACTGAAGTCCATGAAGTTGAAAAACTTGCAAATCTTTGTGCAACAGTTACCGTTTTCACAATGGACTTTTATCTTTTAATAGTAGTATTGTCTTTCAGTTTATTTGTCAGTTTTTATGTCTGATCAGTTCCTATAACTGAACGGGTTTGGTTTTTAATATACATGTGCTCTGGTTTCTCTGCATTTTTAAATGTCATTTGGCCTGCTGGAAATATCACAGTATCGAATGTTGTGATTCAGAGGAAATTATACAGAAGTTATGTTGAACAGACTTGGCAATGGCAAGAAAACGCATGAACTCTTTGGTGTTTATTGTATATGCCATGCAATTCAACAT